GGGTTCGGCCAAACCCCGTGTGTGCGAGCTGTGGCTCAGCCCCGTTCTCTGACGCAGAGGGGAGGTCTTACTGCTGCTGGTGAACGCTCCTCTTGGTGCCCCTGCAGGGGAAGAGGAGGTGGAGGAAGGCCAGGTGACGTCCACCCCGGCCGTGGAGAGGGCCACGTGTTACAACGCCCCGCTGGGATGCTGCTCCGACGGCAAGACCGCGGCTGCCGACGCCGAGGGCAGCAACTGCCCAGGTGAATTTGTCCCAGGGCTGGGCTCTGGGGGTGCCTGTGGGGGGTCAGGAGTCAGGCTGAGATGTGGGGTGCCACGGAGAGATGCCCAGCAGGGCCCAGCAGATGCCCAAGCACAGCACAGTGCTGTGCTTGCCCGGCTGGCAGCGAGGATGGTCCCATGCCCCATCTGAGGGTTGGTGTGTCCCTTGAAGGGGGTGTTCACAGGGATGTGCCGAGGCACAGCATCTGGCAGACATGGTGCCAACCTGCCACAGCCCCCAGCAGCCAGCCCTGGTGCTCAGGTGGGCGCTGCTGTTCACGTGGGCAACCAGAGCACTGCTGTTCTCTTCCCTCAGGGGACCACCTTCCTCCTTGACTGCTACAGCCTTAAAAATTTGACCAGTGCTTTGCCCAGGCTTCTGCCAAGCTCACCACTGGCACTGGGGTGGAGGAGGGAATTGCTTGGATTCCCTGTGTTAGTGGCTGTAAAGGGAGCTGGGGCAGGACCAGTTTGGTGCTGGGGCAGGCGGGGAGAGCAGCTGTACCCACAGGGTCCCTGCTGGGCATCCTGGGGGCTCTGAGCTGCTTGACTCTCACAGTGGTTTCTAGGGGTGTGCTCTGCTCCCTTGACCCAGCTGGAATCTCTCTTCCTTTCTGCATGTTGAGGAAGCACAGCCCCACCTCTGCTCTGTCAGAAAATGTCCATCCTCCTTACCCTGAAAATTGGTGCTCTGGGCCCATGTCCCAGATATTTCCTCACTGAGGTACTTCCCAAGTGCCCTCGTGGTTTCCAGCAGGACACCCCCTTTTCCTGTGGACACCACATTCCCCTTTCAACCCCCAACAGCTGCAGGGACCCTCCCACGTGGTTACCCACAGTGGGATCTCTCCATCCTCTGCATCCCTGTCACAGTTTCGCTCGGGTTTGGCAGGGCTGGCCTGGAAGGCTCCGTCCTTCCTTCTCCCAGCACAGGTCTTCTCCTTGTCCAGAGCCCAGGTTTCTCCCTCCTGTGCCCTGTGCATGCCCGTGTCTGGTCCTGGAATGCTGACTGTCCTGCTAACGTGTCTCTCTTGTCACTCAGCCGGTGCAGGGGGGCTGCTCTCCGGGCCGGAGCTCAGAGGAACCCGTATGGTAAAAGCTGCCATCTCCAGCCTGGTCTTTGCCATCTGCTCCAGCACCCTGTGACACTAATCCTCCATGGCTCTCCCCAGACCCATCCAGACTAACCCCAGCACTGGCACTACCCACACACTGCCATCCCCCTGCCCCAGGGACTCGGATGCTCTTGGTGGCTCTCAGCCTCACGCCTCCCCCTTCCCCACCCAAACTAAAGGTGTTTGTCCTGTGTTCCCTCCCTGCCACAGCTACCAAAGTCTTCCAAGGAGTCCTCATCCTGGAGGAGGTGGAAGGCCAGGAGCTGTTCTACACCCCGGAGATGGCTGACCCCAAGTCGGAGCTGTTTGGGGAGACGGCGCGGAGCATCGAGAGCGCGGTGAGTTCCAGGGCAGGGATCTCCTGTCCTTGGCAAAAGAGGGGACCCTGCCACACCGTGGAGTCACTGAGTCACAGAATCAGGGCTGGAAAAGCCCTCCAAGATCATCAAGTCCATCATTAACCCAGCACTGCATTCACCACCAAATTGTGTCCTGAAGTGCCACATCCTCATGTTTTTTGAACACTTCCAGGGATGGTGATTCCACCCCTGCTCTGGGTACCCTGTTCCAGTGCTTGACAACCCTTTTGGTGAAGAAATTTTTTCCTAATATCCCATCTAAACCTCCTCTGGTGCAACTTGAGGCCATTTCCTTTCATCCTGTTACCCGGGGGAAGAGACCGACCCCCACCTGGCCACAACCTCCCTTTGTGCTGGGTCCAAAATCCTTCTGGGTCAAAACCTCCCTTTGTGCTGGGTCCAAAATCCTTCTGGGTCCAAAATCCTTCTTCAGCTTGATCACGGTGGTGAGACTGTTCAGACCAGAGGTTCTGCCTTAACCCCTTGGATTTCCCAAAGTGTCCTTATCTCCAGGAAGAGCCCCGAGCCAAAAATACATCCGGAACCCCTTCACCCTCTGGTTCAGCTCCACACCTTGGGAAGCTGCTTGTGTAAATCCAGCCTCCCACCCCTAAGGAGAACCCCCTGCATTGTCAGCTGCAGGAGTAGGTGGATTTTGGGTGGCAGTGTGTACATTTGGGGGTGCTGAGGCGGTGCTGGGCAAGGTAACAACGTTCTGCTGGAGCCTGCAGGGTGGCACAGCGAACACAAACCATCTTTGCAAGGGCATCAACACATTTAGAGCGGGTTCCAAGCTGCACACAGAAAGCTGGCAAGCCCTCAGTGCAGTCACACCAGCAGATGTGTGCCTGGCACATGGACCAGATGGCTCCTGCAGTTCTGCAGCACAATACTAGTGTTTCCCAGTACAGCCCAGGGTGGAAATGTGCACACAAAAGCTTCATTCATGGGTTCATCCATTAAGGGCCTTTGCTGGTTTCTGTTTTCCCAGGCTGGCAACATGAAACCGTGGCACAAAAGGCATCTGTGGCTGGGCTGAGAGCTCCTGCCACAGCCCTGGGCTGCAGAGACCTGTTCCCTGGGGATGTGATGTGCTCCTTCACCCCTCTGCTCACTATTCCAAATTTAAAGGGGGAGACTGTGCCATGGGACCATTAATCAGTTAATTACCGTCTTCTCTCTTTGCCTGGAAGCCAGGGGAAGGAATTGGTGGACAGACCAGCCTGGACAGACAGCTGGCAGGGGTGTTACAGTCCTGACTTGCTGTGAGCCTTGCACTGCCACCGTCTCCTTCATGTGACTTCAGACAAATCCTGCAGCATCCAAGAGCCAAGTTTTAAAAGGCAGGCAGGTACTTAAAGATGCAGAATAGGGCTTTATGGGATTTCTCAAAGTGCCTAAGCAGGTTTACACAGCTTTAGAACAGATCAGGAAGACTTAGATGCCACACAATAGAAAATCCCTGGGTGAGCTGCAAGGTGTCTCAGCTCTGGCTCTGTTCTGCTGCTCCTCACAGGTACCACGGGGTGTCCCACGTTATTTATGGGTCCTGTCCTTACCTTAAAGAATAGGGACCATCTGGAATTGTCACCCAGCACAGCAGAGCCCTGTCCTCTGTGGGGCATCTTGCAAAGGGTTGGATGCAAACCCCTGTGGGTTGAAACCAAGGAGACCCTCCGAGACTCCAGATCTTTCCCTGGCAAGATCCATTCCCCAGGATCTCCCCATTAACCAGGTCGTTCCCTTTTCTCCTCCACCTCCCGCCGAGCAGCTGGACGAGCTTTTCCGCAGCTCTGATGTCAAGAAGGATTTCAAGAGCATCCGTGTGCGGGACCTGGGGCAGAGCAGCGCCGTCCGTGTCTTCGTGGAGTCTCACTTTGACCCAGGTAGGAGCATTCCCTGTGCCACCCCCACCTGCCCTGGGAGGCAGCAGGCATTCCCAGTGGGAATGCCGGCTGGAGAAACACCCATGTGGCAAGGAAAAAGGAAAGAACCTCCTTAAAATTTGCCAGGGTTGTGTTTTCTGCCCAGCAAAACCAACAGAGCTGGGAGGGGGTGCAGCCTAAGCTGGTGCCTGGAGGGCTGGAAGCGTTTTCCTTGGGAAAGGAGCAAATTTGGATGCGCTGTGGGAGAGGAGCTGCTGGGTGGGATTGTATCTTCACTGTTCCTCTTCTCCTTCTTCCTCCTCCTGGCTGTGAGCAGCCACGTCCTACACGGCAGCTGATATCCAGGCGGCCCTGCTGAAGCAGATCAAAGCTTCCAAGAAGAAGACCATCCTGGTGAAGAAGCCCCAGCAGGAGCATGTCAAATTCATGGATTTTGGTGAGTCCCCTCTGCCTGTGGCCGGCCCCCCCTCGCTTGGATTAGGCTTTCAGATGGGCAGGGTGGCTCTTCTGCTCTTGCCAGGGCTTTTTGTCTGTAGCAGTAACCCATCAAAAGCTCAAAAAAAGTGCAGAGGGTGGTGCAGAATCAGGGAATCATGGAATGTTTTGGAAGGGATCTTGAGGCTCATCTCATTCCACCCCCCCTGCCATGGTGGACCCAACCCCAAGGCTTGTCCAACCTGGCCTTGAACATTCCCACAGCTTCTCTGGGCAACCTGTGCCAGGGGCTCTGAGTAAAATCCGTGTGCCCAGGCTTGGTTTTCACTCAGGAAAACCATCAGGGGGGGTAGAATTGCCCCATTTTTCATGGCACATGACAACTGCTGCACCGTGGGGACGTGGCAGTGGAAAGGGAGCCTGTCCTGGTGCTCCCGAGGTGGTGGCCAGGCCTAGTCATAAAATCATAGAATCAGCTGGGTTGGAAGGGACCTCCAAGATCATCAAGTCCAACCCTTGATCCAACCCCGCTGTGGTTCCCAGCCCATGGCACTGATGCCACATCCAGTCTCATCTTAAAAACCTCCAGGGACGGAGAATCCACCACTTCCCTGGGCAGCCCATTCCAATGGCTGATCACCCTCTCTGCAAAGAAATTCTTTCTAATATCCAACCTAAACCTCCCCTGGCACAGCTTAAGACCGAGCCCTCTTGTCCATCCTGATAAACCCGGAACAGTGATTTTCCAGGGAAGACAGACACGTGGCATGTGGGAGCGTGGCTGCCCCTGCCTCGCAGAGGGCTGCGAAGCACTAACTTCTCCTCACCCTTTGCTCTTCCAGACTGGATCCCCAGGCTCTTCACCACCACCATCACCACCACCACGGCCACCACCATGGCCCCGGCCACCACCCGCCGGGCCACCACGGCCGCCGCCGCCACCGTCACCGCGGCCCGCGGGCAACGCCCCGGCGGCACCGGGAGCACCAGGAGGCCCAGCCCTCCCACCCTCCTGCCGGCCGCCAGCACCCGCAGGAAGCCCACCCGGCAGCCCCCCGCCACCAGGAGACCCCCCCGGCCCTGCGACTCCCACCCCTGCCTGCACGGGGGCACGTGTGAGGACGACGGCGAGGAGTTCACCTGCAGCTGCCCCGCGGGCAAGGGAGGGGCCGTCTGTGAGAAAAGTGAGTGGCCCCCTCCCCACCCACCCACCCACGGCATCGATGACAAAATTGGCAGAAATGAGGCTGCTCAGGGACAGTTTTGGAGTCTTTAAGCAGCAAAGGTATTTGTTTTGAGCAAGGCTGGGGAGTCTAGCTTGCGCTGGACAAACTAGCTCCGAAGTTCTCAGTGAAAAGCCAGGTAATTTATGCAGTTTTTATGAGTGATTACAGCATCTATACATGCGTATTCATTTAATTTCACGATCTAATTATCATATTCATAATAGGCGGAGTCTAGGCAGAGCTTGTCCTTTTAGGGAGTCCTCTGGTGGTCTTTCGGGTCCTTCAGCCTCAAGAGGGTCCTTTTTGTCATGAACTTTTCCTGACTACGTACTGGGAGCTTGCAAAACCCCCCCCCTGCTTCAGCTTGCTTGTCTCCCTGGATGTCCATTCTATCTAATTCATGACTACTAAGTTGTCCTTTCTGTTATCTTTTCATTAGTACAGAACATATGTAGGCAGAGCTCTGGAACAGGGGACCACTTGTCCCTTAACATTAATGTTGCATTCCTCAGAGAGAGGGTCTGTAACATCCCCTCAGAATAGAATTCAAGCTTCTCAGAACTCTTGCTCGGTTTCAGCATCCCAGAGCGGGGTGGGGAGGGACCTCTGAGCTCACCCCCAACCATCCCAGGTTGCTCCAAGCCCCGTCCAACCTGGGCTTAAGCGAGAACATCCCATGTTGGGCGATTCCAGCGAACGCGTCGGCTGGTGATGGAGGGGTGGGGGGGACATTCAAACCCAGTCCAGGAATTGGCACTGGCACTGCAGGGGCTGCTTTAATGGGCTGTAATCTCAGCTCTGCCACAGCAGGTTGTACATGTGCTATTCATTGTAAAAGGCTGCGAGGTGCCAGGAGTGATTTCCCCCTGGCTCCGCTCCTGATCCAGCAGTGCCCCGGAGCACGGGGGGGATCGGGAGCTGCTGCTGTGTTAGCTCAGCTCGTGGCACTGCCCCTCACAGCTCCTGCCTGCCAGTGTGACACAGCCAGGCGCTGACCATCCTCTCCAGCCCGGGGAGATGTGCTCTGATAATCCAGCCTCTATTTCCCAGTGCTTGGAGCAGCTTAACAAGCAGCTGGAGACTGGCAGCACGCTTACCCAGAGCTGCTGTTATTTACTGTGAGCCCCCACTGGCAGTTTGGGGTCATGCTGGGTACTCTGGGCGGCTGGGAGTGCTTATTCCTGAAAAGCTTTGTCCCTAAAGCCATAATCTGGAGCGCTCCAAGCTGTGGGTGTCCAGCCCTGTTCATTTTAATAGGGCTTGGCCTCCCAGATCCCTTGGAAAACCTCAGCCACGGCGAACAAAAGCCTGGAGTGATGAATGTAAATCTGTCGTGTGGGATTCTGGGAGGAGAGATAAAAATTATCTAAGGAGCAGGGAAGCTGAGTTACGAGGAGCTGTGTGTGCAGCAGAGCTCGGATGATGGCAAAGGGGCACGGAAAGGACCAGCAGCACTGGTTTTTAACTGGGAGGAGCTGGTCAGGGGAGCAACACCCCAGATCTTTAAAGCCTGGGAGCAATCTTTGGGGGGGAATGGCATCACAAGAGGGGTTTTGGGTACCAGTGTGAGTGTCTGGGAGGTGGTGACGGGGTGAGTGTGGGCTCAGAGGAGACAACCAGCTTCTCTCCACCCTTTCCCAAGAGCTCCATGTCCGGACAGGTCAAAAACATTCCCAGGCTCACAACAGGCTCTGTGTCCTTCTATCCCCTCTTCATTCCTCTCCTGGCTCTTGCAGCTATCAGGTACTTCATCCCCAGCTTCGGGGGCAAGTCCTACCTGGCCTTCAAGATGATGAAGGCGTATCACACGGTGCGCATCGCCATGGAGTTCCGCACCCTGGAGCTCGGGGGGCTGCTGCTCTACAACGGCCAGAACCGGGGCAAGGACTTCATCTCCCTGGCCCTGGTGGGCGGCTTCGTGGAGCTCAGGTGGGTGCCCTCCCAGCCCCAGCTGGTGGGGGAGGAAGGTGGGCTGCTCCAGCCAGGACGGTGCTCGGGGAACATCAGGAGGATGCAGGGCTTGGACTCGCGTTCTGAGAGACCTGGAATCAAAGAGATGAGGAGAGGAGAAGGGGGTTTTTTATGGATGTGATAGGGAGCTCGTTCCCTCCCTCTGGCACTTTTCAGCAAAGTTAATTTGGTGATTTCAGTTTGAATTTTGAAAAGCTGGAAGGTGTGGGAGGTTGATTTTTTTGGGGCGAGTGAGAGGTCTTTTTTTTTTTTGGTGGTGGTTTTCTTTTTTTTTTTTGTTCCAAGAAAAGAAACACAGGTGGGAAAAAAAGGAAATGGAGAAAAGCCCCAGAAATCTGAGCTGGAATGACTTTTTTTTTTTTTTCCCCCTCCCATTCCAAAAGCCAAAGGGACAGATTTGGAATGAGGTGAGGTGGAGGATTTGAGTCCTCAGGCAGTGCTGACACTCAGGGGTGGGCAGAGCATGCTCTGAGGGCAGCCTGGCATAGAGGTGGGCAGGGAGGGAGGGTCTCCTGAGCACTCCCAGTTTCTCCCTGGGAGATGTCACCTGACACAGATGTCACCTTTCTGCAGGATGGCACAAACACGGCCCTCTCCCCCACCCCTCTTTTCTCCTGCAGGTTCAACACGGGCTCTGGCACGGGCGTCATCACCAGCAAGGTCCGTGTGGAGCCTGGCAAGTGGCACCAGCTGGTGGTGAACAGGAACCGGCGCAGTGGGATGCTCTCCGTGGACGGGGAGCCCCATGTGAGCGGGGAGAGCCCCCCGGGCACCGATGGGCTCAACCTGGACACGGATCTGTTCATCGGGGGAGCGCCTGATGACCAGATGGCCGTGTGAGTGTGGGGCTGGGGGCTGTCCCGGGGTCACAGTGCCCACCACTGCTTCATGGGGGGCTGGAGGGGCTTTTTAATTGATCATCTGTCTGTGTTGGTGAGGCACCTCCAGGGCCATGTCTGATTTTGGGCCCCTCGCTGGAAGAGAGATATTGAGGGGCTGGAGTGAGTCCAGGGAAGGGAATGGAGCTGGGGAAGGGGCTGGAGTGTCCTGTGAGGAGCTGGGGGGGCTCAGCTTGGAGAAAAGGAGGCTCAGGGGGGACCTTCTGGCTCTGCAACCCCCTGACAGGAGGGGGGAGCCAAGGGGGGGTCAGCCTCTGCTCCCAGGGAACAAGGGACAGGAGGAGAGGGAACAGCCTCAAGCTGTGCCAGGGGAGGGTCAGGTTGGACATCAGGAGGAATTTCTTCACAGAAGGGGTGGTCAGGCATTGGAAGGGGCTGCCCAGGGGTGTGGTGGAGTCCCCATCCCTGGAGGTGACCAAGGAAGGACTGGCTGTGGCCCTCAGTGCTCTGGGCTGAGGGACAAGGTGGGGATGATCAGGGACAGATTGGACTCGATGATTTCAGAGCTCTTTCCCAACCTAAACCATTCTGTGATCCCTGTGAGGGACCACAGCCCGACCCACATGCTTGGAGTGACCAAAAGCCCTGGTGACCCCGTGCTCTGTCCCCTCAGGGTGGCAGATCACACCACGGCCACCGCGGGGCTCAAGGGCTGCATCCGCCTCCTGGACGTGAACAACCAGATGTACGACCTGCGGGAGAAGGGCAGCGACGTCCTCTACGGCAGCGGGGTGGGCGAGTGTGGCAACGACCCCTGCCACCCCAACCCCTGCCACCACGGGGGCATCTGCCACGTCAAGGAGGCAGAGATGTTCCACTGCGAGTGCCTCCACACCTACACCGGTACGGGGAGGGGGCTGCAGGCTCCTCGTCCTGCTGGGTGGTCCGGTGGGATCCCGGAGCCTCTGGGATCATCAGAACAGGGAGGGGGCTGCAGGCAGGGCAGGGCTGGGCTCCTTATCCTGCTGGATGGTCCTTTGGGATCCCAGAGCCTCTGGGGTCATGACAGTGGGGAGGGGGCTGCAGGCAGGGCATGACTGGGCTCCTCATCCTGCTGGATGGTCCTGAGCAATCCTAGAGCCTCTGAGATTATCACAGTGGGGAGGGGGCTGCAGGCAGGGCAGGGCTGGGCTCCTCATCCTGCTGGATGGTCCT